ATACATGCACTGGGTACAGTCAGAAGCGCGGGAGGGTGAGAGAATTCACCAGAGCCAGAGCGGGGAGCAGAGCAGGCAGAAGGACCGAAGGACACTGCTGAGGGGAGCAGCGGGCGGCAGGAGAGGTCTGCGCACCATGTGGGACCCTCCTCTGGTGGCCGGGGAGCAGCCGGGAATCGAACCGGTGCTGCAGAGGCTGCGGGCAGCTTCGCAACCCAGTGCTCAACCGCTGCGCCACCGGGGAGGCCCTCCACATTTTCTTCTTAAGGTATAATTTAGTAAAACTGAGAAGTCCTTTTCCCTTTAAGCTCAAACTTTAAAATTTTTATTGTATTAAATTACATAGGAAATACATTTTAAATTTTTTATGGGTCCAGTTCAGTGGTATTAATTATATTTATAATGTTGTATAATCCTCACACCATAAATCTCTGTAGCTCTTTTTATCTCCTAAAACTGAAACTCTATACCCATTAAGCAATAATAACCTAATTTGGGATAAAGAATTGCTGGATCACATGTGATGGAAGCTTAGAATAGAAAGTTGTGATGGAGGCTTCACAAGACCAGAAACTGATGTTGGGGATAGAAATGATTCGTATGGTCATTAAACCAGCTATAAAATGAAAGATTCCTAAGCAGCTACTTCTATAGAAATGTCTGTAGGCATTGACCAGAGTTAGGGCTATGGAGATTGAAGGCCACTATAGACATTCATGGAGTCCTGATCCTTACAAATTAACCCAATCACAGCCTGGAAATGATTAATTTCATTGTAGAGTACTTCCCTCAAGGAAGTATTGTCAAAAGTATTGTTCTGTGTCTGTGCAGGCCTCTCTTTTAAGAAACTCGTTCCTTTCAGAGGCAGCTTTTAAAAAAAATTATTTATTTATACAAGCACTGGGGGTATAGTCCAGAGGAGCAGGAGGGCGAGAGGATTCACCAGAACAGAGCAGGGAACAGAACAGGCAGAAGGGCTGAAGTACACTGCCAAGCGGAGCAGCCAGAGAGGCAGGAGAGGTCTGCTGCGCCATGTGGGACTCTCCCTGGCCGGCCGGGAATCGAACTGGTGCTGCAGAGGCTGTGGACAGCTTCACAGGGCTGCGCTCAACCAGCTGTGCCACAGGGGAGGCCCATAGAAGCAGCTTTTTTTTTTACCAACCTGTCTGTGCAAGCATGTTTCCCTTTCCATTTCTAAACTAACCTGTCCTTTTAAGATGTAAACTTTTGGCCTCCCTGGTGGGGTAGCTGGGGGTTGACCACAGCACTGTGAAGCTGTCCACAGCCGCTGTAGCACATGTTCAATTCCCAGCTGTCCAGGGAAATACCCACATGGTGTGGCAGACCTCCCCTGTCTTGCCTGATGCTCTCCTCAGCAGTGTTTTCCATCCTTTGCCTGTTCTGCTCCCCAGTCTGTCTCTGGTGAATTCTCTCACCCTCCCATGCCTGTGACTTGTACCCCACTTCTTGCATAAATAAATAAATCTTAAAAAATACATAAATAAAATGTAACCTTTGCCTACCTGAGCAAACTTCTCTGCCTGATGGTGAAATTCATCATGAGCCACTGAAGGGAACTTTGCTGAGACTTTTCTCAGAGGGAACCCAAGGACCCCACTTACTGGACCCAACATCTAATCAAAATGAAATCAATATTGCTGTTCTATTTTTATATTTTGAGGAACTATCATTTTTTTCCACAAAAGTTATATATGTCTAACTGCAGTTGTTTTTTGATCCATTGATCCATGGAGTGAGGGTTATTTTTCTGTGCCTTCTATTTTATTTCATTGTTCTATATCTATGCCTTTATGCTAGTATCAAAGTGATTTGATTAATGTAGCTTTATATTGTTTTTAAACAGGTATGTAGTTCAGGAAAAGGGGGTTCCTGTAAAGGGCCTCCCTTTACCTTTTTTTCCACCAACCAAGTGGTTTCAGAAAGTTCCCTCTAGGGCCTCCCCGGTGGCACAGCGGTTGAGCGCTGGGTTGCGGGGCTGCCCGCAGCCTCTGCGGCGCCGGTTCGATCCCCAGCTGCTCCCCGGCCACGGGAGGAGGGTCCCACATGGCGCACAGACCTCTCCTGCCGCCCGCTGCTCCCCTCAGCAGTGTGTTTCGGTCCTTCTGCCTGCTCTGCTCCCCGCTCTGGCTCTGGTGAGTTCTCTCACCCTCCCGCGCTTCTGACTGTACCCAGTGCATGTGTAAACAAAACAAACAGACAAACAAATAAATTAATAAAAACATGCCTCTGTTTAAAAAAAAAAAAAAAAGAAAGTTTCCTCTAGCTACATTTTTTAAGAACATATTTTGAATATATTTAGTAAATAAAATGTGTTATTGCAATTAATTTCATCTATTTCCTTTTAGTTTTGAAAGTGTAGTTTCCAAAATTGGTTGGTTATTTTGGAGTACTGTCCAGGTTATTTGGCACAAAGCAACCTCCATATGTTCAACACTGAGGACTCAACTCTGCAGAAACAGATTTGCAAAGGATCTAGTAACACTATTGAATAACAAGATACACTCTTGTATACAGAAAATACTCAGGAAATTGAATATATATGCATACATATCTATAAGTTAATAAAAAAATTCTACAAAGTTGTAGTAAATAAGAACGCCAAACAGGACCTCCCCTGGTGGCACAGGCAGTTGAGTGCAGGGCTGTGAAGCTGTCCGCAGCCTCGGTCCCATGTGGTGCGGCAGACCTCTCCTGTCATGCCCACTGATCCCCTCAGCAGTGTATTTCGTCAGTCTGCCTGTTCTGTTCCCTGCTCTGTCTCTGGTGAATCCTCATACCCTCCTGCACGTCTGGTCTGGCCTGTACCCCGGTTCTTGTATAAATAAATAAATAAACCTTTAAAAATAATAAATAAATAAATAAGAACCCCAAACAAAAACCAGTTGTATTTCTATGCATAAGGGATGAATAATCTGAAATGAAATTAAGATAATGGTATTTATAATAGCATCAAAAAGTAACATTCATAGTATGCACATACTTGCACATGAAAATTCATGTGTTCAAGACTTGTACATGAAAATTTAAAAACACTATTGAAAGAGATTTAAAAAGACCTAACATATCAGAAAGACATGTGTGTTCATGTGTTGGAAAGCTAAACATTATCAGAAGGTAATTATTGATCAAGAGTTGACCTCCAGCTTTAGAGCAATTCATGAGAAAATCACACTTGTATTTTTGGTGATTCCAGTGATTCCTATCAGTTAGAGGTTAATAAAGATGCAGTTTGATCCTTAAATTCATTAGGAATTAGAAGGTGGCCACTGAAGGTGCTCAGAAAACCAAATCATCTTGAAAATAAAGTTGAGAGACTCTTTCAAAACTCAAAATTTGTTACAAAAAAATACACTGTGATAATGTCATACAGAGAAACAAGGCCATCAATGGGGTAAAATTTAGAGTTCAGAAATAAATATTCACTTACATGTACAAAATAAAAACATGTACAAAATAAATCAATTTTTTATTAAAATATTTTAAAACTCCAGGATTAAAATAAAAACAAAAACCCAAATGAAATAAAGTGATTGCTTCCAGAAATGGGAGAAAGTAGTTGTAAACCACATATGCGGTGGACTTGTATACAGAATGTATAAAGAATTTTTATATCTCATTAACTTTCCCTTTGCCAAAAATTTAAAAGACAAAAGGGTTAGGAATGATCCAAAGATTATCTAATGATGACTGGATAAAGAAAATGTGGTTAAGTTGAACTAAAGAAATACTGTCAAGTTAGCAAAGAAATTGACAAGATGAAATCACTATGGTAAGTGAAAATAAGCACATGCAAAAATGTCAGGGGTGCAGTGATTCATGTAAATGAAGCTTACATAATAGGGTCACTTATAGGGACACTAAGTTAGGAATTCCTGGAAGGAAAAGAGAAACTGGAATTATTGAGTGGTTTATTTTTTGTGGATGATGAAAATGTTCTGGAAATACGTAGTAATGTAGTAAAAATAAATGTGGCTTTTGAAATGATGGCTTTTATGGTGCCAATAATAACTCAAAAATAGTGTTTATTTTTGGAAGTCTGATTTCATTAGGTGGATACAGGGAACGTTGTTCAGGAATCCTGATAACATCCTTTCCTATTAAAAAAAAAATTAGTGTTTGTTTAGGTAGGACGTATATTAAAATCGAAGTGGTACATCGATTAGCATGAGAGGTACGGAAGATAGAAGAAATGTTTCAGCAAAGCAAGTTTATCAAAAAAGGTAAGAAATGCAACAAATGAGTTAGAGAACAGAATTCATTGGGCACATAGTGAAAGGTGAACACTTTGGTAAAACTGTTTGAAGGGACGGGACTTGGTCGAAGCTTACAGTTGTGCCGTCAGTACAGTAAGGGTCTGGTAAAGAAAGGGAAACGTTCCGTGGCGGGCCAGAATTTTGAGGAGGTGTAGTTTTGGTTAAGTAGATTCCTTTGTCTGAAAATAAATTTGGAGTAAGCAGAGAAGAAGGTCTGTGTTCGATAATCTGGAGTATGAAAACAAAGAAAAAGAAGAAAGGAAACACGAGGGTAGGATTGCGGTCACTGAACTCACAGTGCAGTCCGCACTCGAGTACTTCCAACTAGGAAGAAGGCGACACAGAAAGTGTAAGTCTTATCAGGCTGCAAGTGCAGCACACAGGGTATTGTGTACTTCTCTATATGCCGAATTAGGCTCTAATTTCAATCAGAAAAAGTAGCCCCCCCCTCACTGGAGGCGGCTGAATCGGTAGTTGGACGGCGTACAGTCATCTGTGCTCACTGATTTGGCCTGAACTGCCTTTTTAAGTCAGAAGTTACTCTGTTTCCAAAGGTTCAAAAGTCCCCTCAGCTTCTTCGATTCCCAAGCAAACCTGTGCTGACGTGGAGGAGCCTTATCATGCTACTATTGGTCACCTGCGTTCGGAAAAAGGAAGGGGAGCTTGAGCACTTCCTGTGAGTGGTCAGAACGAGGATTTGTATTTTTACGTCACTGCATGGCGACGCAAGTAATAGAGGCGGTAGTAGTGATTAGCGGCGGAACTCCGAGAACCAAGAGGCCGGTATGCAGATGGGTTCACAACCGTGCAGGTCTGGTTTTCATTCCGAAGTTGCATGTGGGTGGCAAGGATGTGGGAGAAACGAAAGTTTCATTTCTATGACTGTTCACTCTCTCTATTTGTGTAAGTCACTTACCTGCTTAGAACATTTTTCTTCTTGTGTCGTTCTTGTGTTTGTGTGTGTGTGTTGTGGTGGCATCCAAAGAAGTGGTGGACACAGAAGTAACTGAAGTTTGGGAACATTGGTACACACGGCAGTGTAGACTGTAGTAACTATGAGGCGGAGCACGCTCCATGTTTAACATCCACGTGTACCAGTGCTAGCTTTCCAATAGCCCAGTATTCTGTCTTGTAGCACCTCTCTCCGTCTGCTCCCCCCGTTAGTTGGGGACGTTGTGAGACTTACTGAGGTCAAGAACTCGGCCGATTCGACTCTGATTTTCTGCTTTCGATACCCGCTCGCGCGACAGGAAAGCACTACTGTTGCGCAGTTACATCTTTCACAACTGCCAACTCTCCCTCCCCCCACCTTTTTGGATCTTATTTGTAGAAGGTCATTGTGTGCGTTAATGGGCGACCGCCGTGCAGCAGGTCCGACACTCTCTTTCGATAGCCCTCTTCCCATCATCGTCATGACAATTCTTAGAATCCAAGAAATAATTAGATTCAACTTTTCTGGCCATGATTTCGGATTTAGCTGTAAAATTTATTTTACCAATTCCTATGATTTTTTTTTTTTCTTTTCCACTAACTGACCTTTGATCTCTCAATCTCGGACTGGCACTGTACTATTCCCCTTGTTATAACGTGTAAGATTTTGTCTCTCTGCCAAACACAGTATCCGTCAAATTGGACACTTACTACTTTTAAACAACATTTGCTTCCCCCACCCCCTCAGGTGTAGTCCCCATAGAGTTTCCTTCCCCACTGCACCCCTGCACCATCACCTCAGTCTCCTCTGCTCCTTCCTCCCTCCCTCTGATCGCTCTCCCTCCTCCTCCCCTGCCTTGTGTTTCTGATTTAAAATTCTCCGTTTTTGCTTTGTAGAATCAACTTATTTTTACTGTCTTACTTTTTTTCCCATTCACTTTACATTCCTTCTTTTCTCATAAATTTCTCGGTGCCTTTTTATTTGTGATCCCATCTTCAAAAGTATGAACTTTGAATCACTTCATACATGAACTCTGATTTAGAATTGAGATATATGGTTACGTATTAAATTTTTATGCCTCACTTAAAAGATGGATAGCTTTCATCTGCCTAGATTACTTCTAGATTATTTCTTTATGACTAGTATTTTATTTCTTCTGGGCCACTTAAAAAAATTCTTAATTCTGAGTTAATTTATGTTCCTTTTAGTGAGGGATGGGAAGGCACGGTTGTGGTGTTGTTACAAGAATTTCAGAAAAATTAGGGCCTCCCTGGTGGTGCAGCGACTTGTGCGCTGGGCTGTGAAGCTGTCCACAGCCTCTGCAGTGCGGTTACGATCCTAGTAGGCCACTGAGGGTCCTACATGGCGCCGCAGACCTCTCCTGTCTCCCCGCTGCTCCCCTCAGCAGTGTCCTTCAGTAGGTCTGCCTGCTCTGTTCCCCACTCTGTCTCTAGAGAATCCTCTCACACACTGCGAATCTGGCCCCGTTCTTTTATAAATAAATAAACCTTAAAAAGTAAAAGAATTTCAGGAAACTTAAAGGAAAAGTAACTTTGTCACTTAAGGAAATTAACTTCATTGTGTTCTATTTTACAGCTGGCTGTTTTCTCCTTCAGTTCTTTTCATTTTTGCTTATGTATTTTGGAATTCTGTTATGAATTGATAAAATTGATTTATCTTTTCATGGATTTATCCTATATAAATATGTTGCCTTTGTTCCTTGTAACTGTCTTTGCCTTAAAGTCTGTTTTGTCTGATTTTAGGATTGTTAATCTATTGTTGCTTTGCTTAATTTTTTTTTTTTCTTCAGTTTTTCAATGCTCACGGCACTGTCAAGCATATGTCCTTTTGGACTCTTTGACAGGATAGTTAGGAGTGGAAATTCTGCATCATATTGGTGCGGGAATTGTCAGGCCTAGTCTCCCAGCCAGGCAGGATGCCAGGCTGCAGGGGCAGCGCTGAGCCCCAGCCACCAGACCACCATGGATTGGTGTCTCACGAAGTCCTGGCAGAAACTTCACAGACGCTCAGGCAAGCAAGCGAGAAGAGGCAAATTTGTTTAGAGAAAGAAAAAGCTAATTGAGGAGAAAAGAAACAGAAATAACGTGGGACTGCTTGGCCATGAAACCAGGCCAGCAAGGGGCAAGGAAGCCAAAGTGGAGTTGTGTCTCAGGGAATATATACCTCTTTCCCTCATTATTCTAAAGCTCCAGACTCTTTTGTGATTGGTTAGTTCTAGGTGGTCTCACTGCTACTGAGCGGGGCATCTTCACATTCCTTATCTAACAGGTTTGTCTCTCCCCATTTGTTGCAGCTTCCCCCTTGTCTGATAGATTTATTTTTATGACCCAGTCTCCCAAATGAGCATCCCTGCACCTCAAGGAGGAAAAAGTCAAAGTCACACATCAACTATTGAAGGAAAACAGGCTGGCACCCACTGGTCTCAGTCTGATCCCTTCCCATCTTCCCCTTGCATAAATATCCCTGCACTCAGTCAAAGGGCAGAACAATGGTCTTCCAGACATGAGTCAGCTGCCCTCCTCTGTCAATAAATTAAGCCACTCTCCTTTTCCCCAAACTCCGCCTCCTTTTATTGGCTGAGGGAAACCGAGGCCAGCATTCAGTAACAACTTTATCCTTGGTCCTGGGATGTTTATTCTTCCCAGCAGAATTAGTAACATTCCTCTAGTTGTCCTTACCTCTAAAGCCATCATTAACTCTCCAGAGGTCCCATTCTGCAATGTCCATAAAACTGCCTAATCACCCTAACTTGCCCTATGGCTCAATATGGTAGATCCATTTTTAATATTCTGAGAAGTCTCTGTACAGTTTTCTCTAAAGACTGAACTAGTCTTAATTCCCATTATTATTGTTTTCTACATTCTTATCAACTCTTCCTGCTTCTGGTATTGTTGATAATAGCTATTTTAACCAGAATGAGGTAGTATGTTAGTGGGGTTTTGATTTGCTTTTCCTAATTATCAATAATAGTGCTTAATTATAGGTAAGAAGTAGAGACATTTGAGTAAAGTTTGGACAAGACAAGGCAGTGATTAAGAAATGGACAATTGTGAACACTGTGAACTCTGGAAATTAGGTTCTCAATAAGTCCATTTTTTTATTTTTGTAAATTGCCCATGTTTCTGTATTATTTGCATGACTCATAATTTTTGTTAGCAATTTAGTGTTGTACTGTAACTGTCAAATAATAAGTCTGGATTTTAGATGAGATGACTTGTAATTTAGAAATGTGACCAGCATCTCAAAATCAAACAATTTTCCTTTTTCTAGGGAGGGATAAGCAGGATTAATGGGAACTTTCAAAAGGAAAGTTGAATACACAGGGGAGAGTGAGCAAACAACATGATTGGTACAATTGATGGAAAATCTGTTTCCACTTGGGCGTATTCTGCATTTTAGTGCTTAATTATAGGTAAGAAGTAGAGACATTTTTGAGTAAAGTTTGGACAAGACAAGGCAGTGATTAAGAAATGGACAATAGTGAACACTGTGAACTCTGGAAATCAGGTTCTCTGTGGTGCGTTTTTACTGTTTATTAGACATTATAGTAGTTATTGGTGTATGACTTTCCTCTATCTTAATAGTAAGCTATTTTGTAAAGATGTTAATCTCTTTACTTTTTGTGGTCTTTGTATACTTTCTTTTTATGTTAGATGACAGCTAGTGATTTAGAAGGAATTCCTTTGAAAATCAGGAGGCATCAAAATAACAAGATTTCTGTGCCCTTGCAAATTAGCTTTGTTTGGGGCACTCTTTTAATACTAACTTCAATCGTTTAAAACCTTCCTCATTATATACTTTTTCCTTGCATACAGGAATATAAGCTTAGGGTTTTCTGTGGGCTTTTCTGAAGATGCAGCCTATCCTTGATCTGTGTGTGTGTTCTGTGTTTCCTGGTAAACCTGGAGCCTTTTAAAAACTTTTTTTTTTTTTAAGATTTATTTATTTATGCATACAAGAAGTGGGGTACAGGCCAGAGGTGTGTACGGGGTGTGTGCGGGGGAGTGTGTGAAAGGATTCACCAGAGACAGGGTGGGGAACAAAACAGGAAGATGGACTGAAATGCACTCCTGAGGGGAGTAATAGGGAAGGCAAGAGACGTCTGCTGAACCATGCGGGAAGCAACCTGGTCAGGGATGGAACTTGTGCTACAGCGACTACTGACAGCTTCACAGGCTGCATCCTAACCCCTTCTGTCACCAGGGAGGCCCTCAAAATTCTTTTTTATGTCTTTTCAAGTTTTCTTCCCAGACTTTCAGTCTTTATGCTGCTTGCCTTCTGTTATTTCTTAACACAGGAAGCTGTCGCTGTTATTTCATTAATAACATTTCATACATCATCCTGATATAGTTCTCATTCTGGCAAAATGAAAAGGAATACTTTTGAATCACACCTCATAGCCATTAGCCATCAGACTCCCAAGAATAAGGTCTGTATTAACTACTTTGATATCAGCAAGTCACACCAGAAATGGTAGCCACTTCCAAGGGGGTTTTATGAGGCAGCTTAACCATGTTAGTGTAGTTTTTGGAAGTCAGAACAACACTATTTTCCTTCCTTGTGTTTATCTTTATGAAAGTAGTAGTATATGGATAATCATTTAATAAAGACTAATAAACTTGCTTACTTGATACAACTCAGTGAAGTTTGTCTATATTACTTGTATATGGATCCAAGTATTTGTTAGTACAAATGATGGAACTTACTTATTTTTTGTTGTTTATTTAAAGTAAGGTTTAACCTAATGTCCCAGATAAACTCCTGCTTTCTTTTTTCTTTTAGCCATCTTAACTCCTTTATTTTTGATCTTGATATGATTGTAAGTAACTTTCAGATTATAATAGTAGATGTAACAATAT